GAGCTCCTGTGCAGCGGAGCACAGAGAGGGAGAGAGACAAAGTAAACAAACAAGCAGGAAAATGAAACTTATCGCCGTCTTTTTTTTACCGACCTCAAAAAAAGTTATCGYGCAATTAATTGATTTATTGTCTATCGCGACAGGCCTAAGTTTGACATTTTCATGTGACTGGATGTCAAGATGAAGCAAAGACAAACGGGTCACCTGTGACCTTGACATTTGATCCAGTGACCTTGAAATAAATAGTGATCATCCCTGACCCAGGAGGTGTACAGTTTGACACTTCTTGTTAAAAAGGGTATCAATTTAGAACTCATATAAGGCAAACTAACATCAAAACAACATATAATATATGTTCTGTATGAATTTCACAACATGTTAACTTGCACTAGATTTAGTAGCAATGACAAAATCTGCAAAAAGCAAAGTGGAAACAATTTTTTGCAACAATTTAAAGAAAATAAAATGTCTGCAGTTGAACAAAGAGAAAACAAAACACTTATCAGCCTCCAGGTTCAGCATCCCCAGTCTGAAATAGACCTTTTTGTCCTAACATGTCCTTTCTATTTAAAACTCACTCACAGGTCAGGAGGAACAAAAGAGAAGGTAGCTTATTATAAGATGCTTTTCACATTTAAACAAATGTTTTTGAGTGTTAAGTGAATTTATCTTTCTGGCTTCTGAAACACTTCATTTACACAATAACCTTGGAGTCTTAATAAGACTGTCGTATGTGACAAACTGGAAGGAAATGGTAAAATATTGTAACTGATGACAACAAAGAGAAGAGGGCCACCAAAAAGCTGAATAGAAACAGAAATGTTAGCAAAAATCAAATGAGGCGATAAAATACAGCAGTGATCAAAACTCTGCAGTCACTGTACTGAGATGTTATTTCTGATATTTAACTAAACAAGTTTTTTGCTTCCAACTGAATCCAAACTGTGAGTGTGAGTGTTAAACCATTAAGTAAACAAACAAAATTAACAATCCAAATTAATCACTAAAATTGTTTCTGTAAAGCTATGACCTCAGTAAAAGTTGAACTTACCTGAGCCAAGATGGCTGCTTTCTGTCCAGCGGTCACACGGATGGCCTGCTGGGTAGCAGCTGCAGGAGAGGATGCTGAATGGCCTGCTGAACCTGAACCCCCCTGCTTCCCTGATCCCTGTGCAGGCTGGCCAACCAGGAATGTACCCTGAAAAAAAAGGACCATAAAGGATAAAGGAATGCACCAACAATTTCTTTAAATTTGAAAACAAATTAGAATCTTGCGTCTTATTTCAACACAACCTCGGTCTTGACTTAAGTCAGTGGCATTATGCTTTAAGTACCTTATACATACATTAAATACAATTTAAAATGGATGTGAGTATGAGTTTTTAATCAGAAATAACTGCAATGAGCAAAAATGAGATTAAAATTTAAAAATTAGGGCTAAGTATCACTTAGGACCTGGTGATTCGATGTGACTTTCAATACAGTGCAGCTTGATTTTACTTTATATTTATTGCTTAATGCCACCGACTCAACAAACCTAGCCTGGTTTAAAACAGACCCTGTCCTTCACTTTGCTTCGTACAAGGGTCTGGACTTGATGCATAGAGAATCGATTTCTTGCAGGAGGCGTGGCCTCTGCTGAAGTTTGAAATGATTGGATCAGTTGGCTGCGACGTATGTCGCTGTGACGGAGGCTAAGCTAAGAAGCTAACCGGAAATCGCGTGTGCTGTAAACAACCCTACTGAGAGGAGAGAAGTACCGAGCCAAACGAGACAACTGTAAATGAGAGCTGCTGCTTTGTCAGACAAATTTAATTTAATTTGGAAGCCTTATCAACATGGACTGGCTTCATTCACTTCCTCCACTGCTGTATGCTAAAATAACTAGCAGACACTGCACAGAAAGTCGACGTCTTTCAAAGCTCCTCCTTCTGTTCTCTGATTGGCCCAGGTAAAATAAACTACAAGCAGACACTGCGCAGAAAATTGACATTCTGTTCTCTGATTGGCCCGGCTAAAAATCTGCCAGCAAAATCCTTGTCAATGGGAGAAGTCCCAGACGGAGCAGTGAAGGGAAACTAGAATTGAGCGGAGCTGYGTAGGAAGGCAAGGGCCAGGCAGGAATCACTCATTATTATACTGCCCCATAAAGGGTAGGGGGTCGGGGATGTTGACATTAAAAGATAGAAAATCAATATGATATCATCTTTTTAAATATCGATTTGTATGCACAGTTCTGGAAAAAATATATACTAAATTTAGAGCGTATTAAAGGTTTGTTTTACAGATCTTTTTTTTTTAAAGGTGCCTACCCACCTGCGGGGTCTGTTTCAGGATGTAAGATGTGTAAGAGAGGTTGGAAGGTAAACTGCCTGAAGACGATGAGGAGTTCTGAGAGCCTGCTGTACCTGCTGACGAGCTGCTCTGGGACTGTTGACCTATTTTACAAACAGCAACAAACACATAGCCTCAAATCACATTTACACATCTTTTTTTGTGCTTTAAAAAAATAATGTTTTATTGTTGATTGAGCCTGGAAAATGTCTTTAAGCAGAAAGGAACAAAAGAGAACAGGACCTACTTGAACTGGAGGCTCTGAGGATGGCTCCCTGTGGAATAAGCAGCAACTTTCCCTTCCCTGATGGGTTCTTGCTGTTGGTGGTCAGGTACARCTTGGTACCTGGAGGTAAATTGGCCAAGTTGGCCAGGTTGTTTGCTGGGAGCTGAAGAGTGGCCATCACTAAAAATATAAAAATTAAAATTAAAAAATTAAAAGGAATCACCATTTTTTTCACCAAGTTATAAAACTGTGCTGCAAATTTCAGGAAACTATTTTGT